GGAGAAACTGTGCTCAAGAACATGGTATTAAAAATATTAGCCCCAATTCACACATACTGGGCCCTATCAGTGAGAAAATCAAGAATCCAGTTGCACAAAGGAGTACTGAAGCCTAAAAGGGCCACTTTATCTACTAAATGCTGAGGAATGATCATATTAAATGCTGAACTAAAGATGAAAAATAGCTAAATGATACAATGTTGCCAAATGACACATTTTGGAGAGAGAGAAGTTCCCTGAGGACGGGTTCCAGCATAAATCTGAATGCTTGGAAGAATAAATCTCTGGTCCCAGTGACTTACTCAGATTGGATCCTGTAACATTATCCTGGGACATGTATATTTGCCTTCATTTACCAAAAAAAAAAAAAAAAAAAAATGGACAAATTGTACATATTTGCAGCTCTTGTGGAAGAAATGTGTGAAAATGATCTCATTTTTTCTTTTCTTTGAAAAATTGTAAACCAATGCAAAAATTGCATGGGCTGAATTTAAAAGCAAGAAACCAAAAGTGAAAGATTCATTCATCCTTACTGGTATCTTCACTGTGATTGAAAGAGAAGTATGTTTCTGTTAACATGAATAAACTGGATTTACATTGCTTTCTCACCAAATATTTGTATGAATTTAGGAAATGTGTAAATAAAATGTGATATAATACTTGTAGAGTTCCTGGGAACTGTTTACAGCAACTTCTTTTAAAAATGCATACTAGTTAGATATTATAATCTTGAATATCTCAATTCAATGACCATTATCTCTGAGTTGAGTATCCATAGAGGGTTGCAGTTTTATTTTTTCAGAGAGATTATGTAGCAATTTCACAATGGAGCAGTCAATAGATACTGTGTAGCTATGTCCTTCTACTAAGTCTTTTCATCACATAATTTACCACTGTTTCTAAATACCACCAATGGAGGACAGGATGGAAGAGGCCCTTGGGGACATACTGGAATGGGAAGCATGGCTGCCTTTGTTCTTCTTCCTCTAACCAAAATGGTAGACAGTTCCAAAGAGGAAGAGTGATTTCTTATGCTCTCTGCCAACTTTCCACAAGCAAAGTCAGAGAGGAAGCTGGCAGGAAGTTAAAAGTTCTGCCTGCTCCCACTGTTGTGCCCAATTGGCTGGTGGCAAAACCCAATGAGTAAATGTTGATTGGCTGTTTTGGAACAAATGCTAATGTTTGAAATCTTTTAATAGTGGTTGGTAGGGAGGGAAGGATGAAGGAGTGACTCAGATACCTACATGCAAAGGAGGGCTGGCAGGAGTGCATCCACAATTTATAAGTACTGTAAGTTCTCTTCCTTCCCAGAGGGAGGAGCTTCTTGGAGACATGACAGATGGGTAATAGGAATGCAGTTTTCTTTATAGTCCATGGGTCCCTTTGTTCCCCCTCCCCCAGCAAAGTAGCAGGCAGATCTGCAGGTCAGCCAAGGAGAAAGAGGAATAATTTCCAATGGTCTTTGCCAGCTTCTGACAAGCAACATCAATGGGGAAGCCATCAGGAAGTTGAAAATTGCTCCCACCTTTTGCCCACCCATGTTTCTCAGTTTAAGTAAGAAAATAACTCTGAAAGAATGCATTAGTCAGACACATTATAGCTTTTAACTTCCCAGACATCTTTAGAAGCAGAGCTTGTAAAGCTTTCTACTTGCTGAAATATATGTAGACTTTTGAAAGGAGCTCCTTTTACATATTTTGCATTCATTCTCAGAATTGTGCTCAATATTTAGCTCATTTAGGGTCAAGCCAAGAGGTCAAAAGTATCAGTTACAGAGAACAATTCATTTCTATACATATTGTGAACCTTTAACTCTGGTTTGGTCTCTTTCTGACTCTCTTGTATGTCTCAATTACATTTTTAGCATTAGACATTTCTTTCAAAACATTAAATAAACCTCTGGTTTCTACTTTTTTTTTAACTTCAGGAGTACTGCAGAACTGGGCAGCCAGCTCTGAGCTTTTCCTTCCTTTTTGCTAATCCTAGAGAAAATCTTTTTGAGTCCTCTAAAGGCAGAACTTTCCCCAAACGACCATAAGTCAGGATTATTCTATGTACTGGATCTACAATAGAGCTCCAAGAGCTTGAAAATTCTCTTTTTAGACTTGGGAGCATACTCTTTCTAGGTACGTGTCTCAGTTAGCTGGCTGTAGGAATACATAACTAAGAGACATACTTGGCTATTTGTCTATATTAATTTACCTTTCCCTTTAAGAATCACTAGTATCTGCTAGGTATGAGTCATTGGGAAAATCTGCCTAGGCCAACAGCATTTTGGAAAATGAAAAGAAGGTCAGCAGCACAGCAGCATAGAAGTGGGATTTCATCTTATCAATTCAAGATGGTAACCTGGAGTCTGAATCATTGAGACAATGAATTTAAAGTTTAAAACTTAAATATATTATCCCTCCCTCCCCCCCATTATTTAGCATTTAGGATAATTTTTTTTTATTAGTTTTGTCTTTCGGTGTGAGTCTGACTAGAGAGTGCACTAAATAAAAAAACTATTTGGATCTATGTCTATGGAGATTCTCAGTCATCCAGGTCATGGTTGTCTCAAAGGTGCTTTTTCAAAAGGCAATTGGACTTTCTTGGTTTTTTTCCTTGAAGAAGTTTTGCTTCTCAATCAAAAAGCTTCATCAGTTCTGACTGGCTGGGGAGGAGGTGGGATGGAAATATCATATTTTTTTGCAGTCATCTGATCTTTAGTATTTTTTCTGAGAGACATTAAAGCCACTTGGGGGTTTATCTGTGTCCTCAGGGACACCTGAATCAGAGTGAAAATGGGTGTGGAATCTTCTTGGAACCGTTGAAAGGACTGCATCATAGACAGGAGATAGGCACATGGACAAGAAGGCACAGTTGAAGCAGTGCTTCTGATTATCAAGCTCCAGAAGAGTCAAAGTGCCTAGATATGTGTTGATATAATACTTGCCTACAACATTTGAAAAAAGTTAGCTGTTTTTCTAGAACTACGTGGCATAGTATATTTTCCAGGCATTTTTTTTTCACCATTGGAAATACCATAAGCTTAAAATTTCTGAAAAATACAGTTATTTTTTATTGAATTTGCAAATGTATTTCTTAGGATAACTGCCAAGAAAGCTGAAATCCTTCTATGGATTGAAATTATATATGGATGCACCCAGCTTCCAAATAATTTACCAAAATTGCAGGAAATAAAGCATAACCTCATGTTTCATGTGAATTTTGTTTTTAATATATACTTTTCCATCTTTTGCAGATTTGAAAGTTGGCAAATAAGTGAAATTGGGACTAGAAACAAGTTTGTTCTGCTTGAAGACAAATATGAAATAGCAAAATATAGCTAGTGACATAGCCTTTTACATTTGCTGCAAAACACTGGGAGAAGAAGGCATGGACAATTATGTTCTCTCCTCCTCCTCTTCTGGCACACATTATCATTGTTTTTATTGTGGCTGTTCTGAAACATCTTAGGGCTATTTCTTATAATACCTTTGATGGTTGAAGTCATTTCAGTCATCAGAATTGCTGCAGCAATAAGCTTGGGTGTTTCATCAAACTTATTGCCCACATAGGGCACTGTGTGTGCTGATATTTTTACAGATAACACCCTCAAGACATTAGTCTTAAATGCCAGGGGAGACAGGCTTTCCCCTCCCCTCCTTCTTCTAATTGCAGTTTTAAATAATAAAACTTCCATTGATCCAAACCACTGCATAGCTCTCTACTCAAAAATTGCCCACCGAGTTCAACAGATCTCATTTTTTTAGGTAAATTGGTATTATCGCAATGTTATTTGTGCAATGTGCTGCATTCAGGGGTATGGATATAGATGGATATACTGTGAGAAGTGATGTATATACTCACCCTGCATGCCTATATGTTACAGCCTATTTACAACTAGATCTGGAGCATAGGCTGTATTGTATAAAGGTTTCCATTCCAAAGCAGAGTTTACTAGCCCCATGATCTTTCATCAACTAAACTTAACTAAAATGAATGCCTTCTAATTTCATCTGTGAGTCAACTATATGATCCTTCTGCCACCATGTGGGTCATCCTGAACCTATGAAATGCAGCTAAAGAATCCCAATTGCATAACTGATGGGTTTTTTATTACTTTTCTTTAGGAATTGATTTTCTGAATTTATTATGGGGTTTTAATATACTATTCTCCCCTCTAAAACACATAGTCTTCAATTATGCACTTCCTAAACTTGTTTTCTGTATGCTCAAAATGTGCTGGTCAGCTTGCCTAATGAATAACATACAGTAACTTGGAAACAGATTGTGTTATTGTTAGTTGCATAAGACCCACCAGTCTTCCTTTTACAAGAATAATAATACCATTCTGTCATACCAAGCTTTGAGAGCAAAGCTTCTTAAATATGCCCAAACATATAAACACACACCAAAGCACACATAGCATACCTTAGGATGTTTTGACATAGTAATGCACATGACTCAATTTAGGGAATTTCCCATTGATGGAAGTTGGATGATCTAAACATATAATGAACACATGAATAAATAAATGCATCGGAAATGCTTAGATGTCTCCTCTTTTGTAATCACCAAAGAATTGGTTAGTTCCATTGGTTAGTAGCCATAAGGTATGCTCCATAAATGTATCCAACACTGATTTACTCAAATGATATTCCCCAATTTATGTATATGTGTGTCTATTTTGAGGTATGTCTGCATATACACATACACACACACACACACACACACACACACACATTTTACAATTAGTATAAATCAACAGCTTTGTTCATGAATAAGGATCAGTGAGAATTTTGTTGTGTTCCATTTTTTAAAAAGAAAACTACTAACGAGTATTACCAAGTAGCACACCCATTTTTGAATTGAATGGAAAGATGTTGCAGTTTGAAAATAGAAATAAACCTAAATTGTTAGGCTTGTCCATATCCATTTGTAAAAGTATCTCTGAAGAATTTGCAAAGGAGGGGACATGGAAACACGGATGAAAATAATAGAAGAAAGTCACTTACTGTGGCCTGCTGTTTTTCTGCCTTCTCAGTTGCCTCATTAAGCTGTTTTTGAAAGGTATCCTGGAGTGATTTCATTTCTTCCCTAGTTTATTGAAGAAACAAAACACAAACTTCATCTCTATTGGCCATTAAGAAATAATGCCTTTGTTTTCTCTTATTTCATGACAAGGCACTTTTAATTACACCAAACAGCTATTGTTTCTGCTTTCCTGAAGTGGCTTATTAATACAGCTACATAAAACAAACAACCAGTGCACACCAGTAAAATTCTTAAAGGAAAATTCAGAAATAGGAAATTGCCTCTCTTTGCGTCTACTATGTAGCTTGCTGTGCAAGTTATTATCACTTGAATAATTCTGGCTGGTCAAAAAAAGTACAATTGCCGTAAGCAAAAAAAACTCTAAACAATGGCAAGTTGAATCAGAATGAGATTATTGTAAGTGAAAACCATTCTGTATTTTATTTTAAAACAAATGACCAAAAATGCTTGTTAAATGTTAAATGTAATTATTCGCATTCTTGTTTCCAAAGTAAGTCCCCTAGTTACAAAATTATGTTCAGAAACAACCACTATAAAAAGATACATTCAGATAATCCTGAATTCTTAAAGGAACAAAGACAGATCTTAAGCTTCATTAGTGTCAGGAAACTATATGTTTGTTTGTTTTTTTCTACAAGGCAAATCATACTTAAGGCCAATTCAGTTTTTTTTTCAGAGATCAGATAGGATATACTTGCTTCCAAAGACACATCCTCTATAATATATAATCAAGTTTCTCTTCCTACTAAATGCTTACTATGTTTTCAATAGCTTACACAGCATTCATTTAGTGAATTAGTTTATTTCCTACTGAAATATCTGCACTATAAGCATTCTAGTGTACTGCAAGATGTAATAGTGTCATCATATTTGAACTTGGTAAAAGAATGTACAAGGCTATTTGTATTCCACTTTTTCTTGGGAATGCAAGAAACAGTATGGGGGGATCCCTTTCATCTCAACAATCCTAAGCAAGGTGGATGAAAGCTGCTTAAAGAATGTACTGTCCAGATCTAACCAATGTACTCATAGTCAAGAGAAGCTTCATGCTTCATTCACCCTGGTCCAAATCCATTTTTTTTTTTTTTGCAAATGAACAGAAACCCATTCCTACTCACATACCCAAACATATCATACATACATATTCCCCTCCTAAATCTTCTTCACTGCATATGCCTACAAAAATAAATAGAAGGCGGACTTCCGGTGGTTAAAGCGGTGGAGATGGCGGCTACTTTGTAGCCATCCTCCTGAGATGGTGTTAGATCCGCGGAGCACAGCGTTCATCAGCTGGCCCGCGGCTCGCAATCCCCTTCCCGGGCGAAGGGAAGGGGTAGAGATCGCATGAATAGAGGTAGAACCTCTTAACCCTCCCTGGATTTTTTATTTTAGGGGGGTAAAAAGAGTGCTCCCTCGGAATTCATTGCCTTCTCCGCCTCTCAGCTGTCTTTGTTTCTTCGGAAACAAAGCGAAACGCCGCTACCATCTCCGTATTTAAAGTAACCGTGAGTAATCTTAAACCGGACAGAACTGTTTAAAGGATTTTATTTATAGTTTAGTTTTATTTTATTTTTATTTAGTTTATTTAGTTTATTTAGCATGTGTTGATTTTTTCTTACTTTTTAAGCTTTCTCTTTTTCTTCCCGGGAGGAAAAGTGAGAGTGAAAGTAAAATGGCGTTTTGAAAGTTTTTTTTTCTTTTGAAAGACGGACTGGCGGAACTGTTGTTTAATACTGCTTTCCTCTTTAAGTTTTTCTTTATCTTTTGGGAGCTTTTAAATTGATTCTATTTTATTCTATTTTACCTTATTTTTAACTTTTGGACTATTTACTTTTTATTGGTATTTTTATGAAGAAAGAAAGATAAATTGAAATGGCTTCAAAACGACAACCAGCTACTACAGCTCCTAAAGTAACTTCTTCTCCTGCTACCTCTACTGTGCAACAACAACTTAAAATAATACCCTCAGTGCAGCAACCTAAAACTACTCCACCCTCACCCCCCCCCCATCTGGCACATCAGCACAAGACATTAAAGAAATAATGGTAAGTGCTGTGTCACAGTTTAGGGAGGAAATGAAGCAACTTTTGGAACAGAATAAATCTGAAAGCAAGGAAGAAATGAAGAAAGAGATGAAGGAGCTTTTAGAACAGAATAATACTATATTGAGGGATGATATACTTCTAGCTTTATCTGGAGTGGCCTCAGTGGTTGTGAAGCTGGACTCTAGAGTGGAGGAAATTGAAGAAACAGTAGAACTCTTGGACTATAAATTCCAAGATATGGAGAAAAAAGTGGAAACTTCACAAGATGATATTCTTATGTTCCAGTATAGACAGATGGAATATGCTTTGAGAATAAGGGGCCTGAAAGAAGATAAAACTCAAGATCTGATGGAAATGGTGATTAATGACTTGGCTGTTATTTTGAATATAGACAAAGATGAGTTACGTGGGGAAGTGGAAAGAATTTACAGAGTTAATTCTTGGATTGCAAAACAGAGGAATCTGCCTAGAGATGTGGTGATATACTTTGCTAAGAAGTCCTTGCGAAATCAGATTCTGCAAACTTTTTACAATAAAAGATTTCAGATTGCTGCTCAAGATATTATTATTTTAAAGGAAATTCCACCTAAAATTTTAAGAAGCAGAAAAGATTTTGCTTTTCTAGCAAATGAACTTAAAGCAAGACAAATGCCATTTAGATGGGAGATTCCGATGGGCATTGTTTTGAGCCATGCGGGGACACGTTATAGACTTAATACAGTTGCTAAAGCTAAGGAATTTTATAAAACGGTCCTGGGTGCAGGCTCACCTTTGCCCATGATGCACAAAGTCCTGAGTGATAAAGAGATGGAACAGAAATCTGAAGATACAGGTGCGATGACTGCTGGACAGGTGGTATGGATGTCTCAAGCAGAGGTTAAAGAACAGAGAATGACCCGTGCAGCACATAAATGTAAAGAAAAAGAACAACAGAAAAAAGGAAAAGAAATCAAAGAATCTACTCAGCAAATTGTTTCAGTGCCGGTGGGAGGAGCAAGACCCAAAAGCTCTGCAACTTATTCTTCAGTAGCAGAATTTGAGGGGATCTTCTCCAGGCTTAAGGCCAAGGGAGATGGCAAAGCTCCTGACTTGGAATGTTAATGGATTAAATATTCCTCAAAAGAGAAAAAAAATTTACCATTATTTGAAACAACACAACAATGATGTTATTTGCTTGCAAGAAACTCATATTACATCTAAAGACCAAAAATACTTAAACAATCCTCGTTTGGGATCTCATTTTGTATCTCCCGCCCCTGGGAAAAAAGGGGGTGTGGTAATTTATGTTAAACAGAACTTATCTGCTACCCTGTTAGAATCAGATCCTCATGGAAGATATGTTATGCTTGAACTTGGTTTATATGGCAAGAAAATTCTTATTGTGGGGTTGTATGCACCAAACCAGCAACAGGAGCAATTCTATAGGTTGTTACATCAGAAAATAACTTTGTTGGACTATAGATCTGTGATTTTAATGGGAGACTGGAATGGTGTCTTAGACATACAAAAGAACAAAAAAGGCTCTTCTACTTTTTTTAAACAGGCTAAACTACCTAAAGCCTTCTTTGACATGAAAGAAGATTGGGAATTGAGGGACTATTGGCGTGAACGTAACCTAGAAGAAAGGGATTTTACCTTCTTCTCAGATAGACACCAATCTTTTTCAAGAATTGATTTCTTTTTGATTACAACAGACTTATACAACAGGGTGAAGAATGTAAAAATTTTTCCTAGGACATTGTCTGATCATAGTCCAGTATGGATGGAACTGTTTGCTGAGAAAGAAGACAGGAGATCCTGGAGGGTGAATGAGAATTTATTTAAACAAGAAAAAAATGTTCATAAATTAAAGGAATGTTTAAAGGAATATTTTGCTTTAAATATGAATAAGGGAACATCAATGTCAATGGTGTGGGATGCAAGTAAAGCTTTTATGCGTGGTATCTTGATAAAAATGAATAACTTGCATAGACAGAAACAGACTCAGAAACGTAAAGATTTAGAAGAGGAGATTAAATTAAAAGAGAAACTTTTAATTTCAAATCCTTTAGACGAAAAGGTGAAAGGAGCTTTAAAACTGTTAAAAACACAATTTAACATGTTGATGGCTGATCAAGCTGCAACCAATTTACTATTTATGAAACAAAATACATTTTGTAATGCTAATAAACCAGGGAGATGGTTGGCTTATCAGTTAAGAAAGAAACAGAAACAGAGGAATATAGATAAAATAAATTATAATGGTAAATTGGTCTATCAGAAAGAATTGATTAAGAAATCCTTTTTAGAATACTACCAAAAATTATACAAGAGTGCTAATATTCAAACTACAGACATAAACAATTATTTAGGTAAAGTTAACTTTCCTAAATTAACAGAAGATCAGGAAAAAGAGATTAATGGCTTAATTACTAAAGAAGAAATTGTTACAGCAATTAAACAACTGAAATTGGGCAAAGCGCCGGGTACGGATGGGTTGACATCTATCTATTATAAAACTTTAGTAGAAGAGATGACTCAACCATTGTGTGAATTGTTTAATAACTTATTACAGGGTTTAGAGATCCCTCCATCTTGGCGTAATGCATTTATATCATTGATTCCAAAAGACAATCAAGATCTTACATTGCCTAAAAATTACAGGCCTATATCTCTTTTAAACGTGGATTATAAAATCTTTGCAAAAATTTTAGCTAATAGGCTTATGGGGATCTTGCAGCAGTTTATACATAAGGATCAATCGGGTTTTATAACTGGAAGGTATATGAAAAATAATGTTAGACAAATTATTAACTTATTAGAGTATCTAGAAAAGAATAACCAAGTCTCTGCAGGCCTGATATTTTTGGATGCTGAAAAAGCCTTTGACCAAGTGAATTGGCAGTTTATGTTATGTTTAATTAAGGAGATGAATTTTGGACAAAATATATTACAAGTATTATCTAATATATATCAAAAACAGACTGCTCAACTTATTGTAAATGGGGGTTTGTCAGA